TGATGCAGTCCACCATCTTCTCCCCACCCCGAAACGTGCACACATCATTTTCTAACATATTCTGCACTTTCCTAGTCACAAGCCCATAGGCCAGACTTACACAGAGCCAAGGCAGGTGACTGGGATGTTGTGTCAGGACACCAAAATGTACAGAGCGCAAGAAAGTATTGATAGTGGTTTTAAAAGATCATGTGAGTTTACATTTTGTTAAATTTACATGTTGACAACTCAAGCATTCCTTCAGCAGTGTAGAAACAACTGAGCTTAGGCACCTACATACTTAGCAAGAATAATTAGTGAAAACGGGAGCTAGCAGATGTTAGGTACTATGTGTTTCTTAGGCACACATTGTTAATACCATCCCTGTGTGCACCAAATCTCAAACCACAAAGTTGACTGGAGGGCCCATTTTCTGCTACTTGCCCCAGGCATCGAAACTGCCAGTTCTGGACAAAGGCAAATAAGATTTCAGGGCGGCATATCCTTGGCAGGTTCTGTTTGGCCATTCATTACTGTAGTATATGCGGTGAGATGTTACCTTTCTTGGTTTTCCCAGTTTCAATCTCAGTTTCTGCCTTGAATCTTCCATGCTTCCAGGCCAAAGAAAAAACAAACAACAAACGGGGTGGGACAGTGGGGGTGGGGGTAGAAGACAATATAACCAAGTAAGTATGGAACTGCTTTAAGTCCAGGCTGGTGTCTTCTCCACCAGACCTATTTCAGTTCTGCCACCACTAACTAGCTTTGTGCCGTAAGCAAATCACTTTACCTCTCCCACAGACCCAAATAAACAGGCCTCTTGTTCTTAGCCTGGCCCTAATATGCCATTACTGAGCTGTAGGACTTTGAGAAATGAACTTCCCTGGACCTGTGTCATCACCTTCACCCTGAGGACATGGAGTTACAGGACCCCTAAAAGCCCCTCCCAGTGGTAACTTTCTATGGATCTATTTAAACTGCTTTCTCCATTCAGGTAGGTGTGAACAGGCTGAGTTTGAGATAGTGGTAACTCATTCTAGGAGATGGTAAGCACTTGGAGAATTGGGGCTGGGACTCAGTGTGAAAGGAGAAAGGCTCTAGAAATAGGTTTTGAGGTGAGAGCTGAAGCCATGAGATAAAGGAGCTCCCCAAAGGGAGAGTATAAAGAGCAAAGGGTTAGTGACAGCCTTAGAAGAAGTGGGGGTCAGGAAGAAAAGATGCCAAAGAAATTAGACGACTTTAAATGTTTAGCAGCAGAATTTAGGGTAGCCTTGGAGAAAAATGTTTCAAGAAACAGAGATGTCATTTTGACATCTTGTTCCTAAGAAGGAATTCTGTATTAACATTGGTAAATGCACCTCCCCAACTGATCTGCAGCCCTGACTCAGACCTTCCTCCTCTCTCTAGGCTGTGAAGCTTCACGGGGGCATTGACATCCTGGTCTCCAATGCTGCTGTCAACCCTTTCTTTGGAAACCTACTGGATGCCACCGAGGAGGTGTGGGACAAGGTGAGAAGGGATTCAAGCAGCAGNCTAACTAATTGAAAGACTGGTAGAAATAATTTGGGTAATCTTAGAAGAGGGGGATGTTAAATGATGATAGATGGTGGTATGGTAGACAGCATAAAGTTATTCCATTTTTTTAATACTTTATTTTGACATTCAATATTATTTTCTATTAATTTCAGGTGTAGAGCATAGTGGTTAGCTTCTTTATGTCCATAGTTGTGGGGCTTCTGTTCAGCTAGACTTCAGGTGATTCTCAATAATGGTTGTTCTGTGGGTTAGCTGTAATTGATGTGGTCCTGAGAGGAGGTAAGCACAGTGTTTACCTACTCTGCCATCTTGACCAGAAATCAAAGTTATTCCATTTTTAAGGAACCGTTTGGGAATGCTCAAATGCACATTAGAGAGAACCAACTCTAGGTCCAAGAAAATCACCTTGCCTGGTATAGGCTGCTGGACAGAGCCTAAGTTTGGTTTCTTGATCCTGAGACTGAAGGGAGCCATCTGGGATCCTGGGCCAATTAGTGACTAGCCATATGACATGTACATAGCAACTTAATATCAAAATCCTGCCAAGAAAACAATCTCTCACCCCCACCAGGTCCACTTAACCTATGCTGCAGCCCTGGCCTAGCAGCGGGGCTTGAGCTAGACCTTGAGGAGTGGATGGGATGGACAGATGTAGTAGGATGGGGTTCCAGATGACCCTCCAAAATGAGCAGACAGCTAAGGAGGGACTGAAGCGAAGAGGGGAGCACTGTCAGCCCACAGCAGAGAGCACAGGCTCGGGAGTGCTGGTGTAATAGCATGGTGGGAAAGAGAGGACACAGGGGCCTCCATAGTCTCCCAAAGGAGTTTAGACATCACTGTAGGAAATAAGAGGCCATGTGAGGTTTTGAGCAAGATGAAAATGGTTATTCAAGAAAGAGAATCTGGCACTGGTAGGAAAGACATATTGGCGTAGAGAAGACTCTGAGCCAAGGGCATCAGCAAGGGAGCTGTTGCTGTCATTCAGGTCTAGAGCAGTAGAACCACAATGGATATGCCCAACAGACATTTA